TGGTGGTGTAGATATGTTGTAGATGTATTGTAGTTTTCAGAATATACAACCGATCTACAACATAGCTGTTGTAGATGTGCTGTGGGTTTTAAAACTACAACACATCTGTACCAGATCTGCACCACGATAAATTCAACCACCTGTAAGTCGAGCCAAACGCATATGTACGTGATTCGCATTGTGTTAACTCTGAGCTGATCGCATCATACTTTTCCATAGCGTGTGTGTGCTTATGGTTTGAGTGTGTTGTTCTGTGTTGTTGGTCGTGTGTGCGTGCAGCTATTGCGTTGCAACCGTGATGTTTGGAAGCGCGCAGGCGATATAACTCTCGCCTGGTGGAGGGCACGTGTTCACTCTTGTCCGACACTTTGCGCAAGCTGCTTGGTGACCTGTGCTCGCGACCCCAGCGAGCAACGCAGAAAATTGCCCCGAACACAATTCAGCCTGACAACCACGAGAGCCCCTTCCCGAACTCCACAGGCAGACGGCTTGGAGCACTCGCTCTCTCGGATAATTATGGCGAACGAGCTCCTCCATGCGTTTCTCCGCTTTGGGCCCGTACGACGAGAGTTTGATTGTCGTCACGTGGATCCGCTTCTGGCTCTCCGAACCCGTGGCGGTCACCTCGAAGCGACCGTCCTCTCGCATGGGAAGCCGAATCAGACAGAAGAGGAGGGGGAGGAGGACGAGGAATACCCAACTCGAACATGCATTCCAAACGCGTTGTTTCTGCACCCAAACGCTTGCTCGGACCGCTGGGAACATTTTAACCCTGAGCTTAAGAAGGCCCCCCCCCAGGGATGGATGCCTGATTTCTGGGGCGTCCGTCGGATCGGAGGCCGCCAGAAAAAACTTGAGTCCTCGAGAGGGGAAGGAGGGGGAGGAGGGGGAAGGAGGTGGAGGAGGTGGAGGGGGAGGGGATGATTAGCCGAAGCTCCTTCGTCTTCGCCAGCTTCGGATTGATGAGGGGCTCGTTCGGCGTGGTCTCCGCGTGCTTGGTGACCTTCTTGGTGGTGGTTGCGGGCTCCTTGGGGGTCTGCAGCGTACTCTTGGACTTGCTCTGGTGGGCCTGCGGCGCCGGCTTGGCCGTGGGCTTGTTCTTGCGAGCTTGCAATATTGCCCTCCTGCGCCTCATCGAACATGGGTCGGACGGCTCGTCGAGCTCATGGGCCTTCATGCAAAGGTTGTGGTGTGAGCCCTCGGGCATCTAGCCGTCGATGAAGGCGTCCAAGCTCCCAGTACTCATCGCGGGCGTAGCTGCAGGAGACGATTCGGCCGACGAGCGTCGAGGCGTTGCGGGCAAAGACGATCTCGGCGAGGCCAGCGGGAAGCCGTCCTTGCAGAAAACCACGTCGGCCTCAGGGTACACGATGGTGGAAGCCACTGACGCCGTGCTCTGCTGATCATTAATGTCAGCCTCCAGCGCGTCGACGTGGCGCAAACCCGAACGGATCATATTGATGAAGTCATTCGTGTCGCCGAAGTTTACAGCTGCTTTGAACGTGGGAGGAGTCTCCGGGTCGCATTGTCCTGGCCGCTGTTGCGGAGCATCGCCGCTGTCAACAGGCGGCACGTCATCAAACACCAGACGTGAGACCAAGTTCTCGATCACGATCCGATCTGCAGCCCCGCATTGTCACTCGGAGGACGCAGACTCTCGGCTCTGAGCCTTCCCACCTACAGCGTCGGCGTCGAGCTTGATCTGTCGGATCGTGCCACAGCAATTGCGAACGTTTTTCGGTAGTGCGAGCGGCCACGAGCTCGTCGCCCTTGGACATCACAGCATTGGCTGACGTTTGGAAACGAGTTGTGAACAGCACGCCGTTCCTGATGTTTGGATCCATCAATGTCTCGAGAATTTTGAATGTCCTGACGACATGCATCGGTAACAGTCGCTGAGCATCCACAGCCAAGGGCGCGATGACATCCTCGAGTGCCTTCTTACCAGCGAACTCCCTCAAACAATCGATATAATCAGACTCGCGGACGTTCGGGTTCGCAGTCTGCCGAGCTCGCTTGGAGCTCATGGTAAACGAACTGCCCTGGGCCAAAATGGCACTCGACGGAAGAGGGGGGGAGCAGGATTCGGAGGATGAGAGGAGCGCAGAGGAGAGCGGCGAGTGGAGAGACTTCCGCAACGCTTTGTGCGACAGGAGGCGGGCGATAGTTGCGTTTCACATCTGGAGGGTTGGTTCCGAGTGGGACTGGAATGGCTGGCAGGCCGACAGGGGACTGGAAGGGAGCTGGACTGGACTGGAATGGCTGGAAGGGTATTGGACTGGCAGGTCGAGCTTGTTCTAGCTTGTTCTAGGTGCACCGCCCGAGCCAACCGTCTGGGCACCTGCCCAGCACCACTTCTTTGGAGCCGCGTCGCTCCCAGCGACGTCGGCGTCGCTCCGAGCGACGTCGGGGCGCTCGCACGCCGAAGGCTGGCACTGCCTCCTCCTCCTCCTCCTCCTCCTCCCTCCTCCTCCTCCTCCTCCTCCTCCTCCTCCTCCTCCTCCTCCTCCTCCTCCTCCCTCCTCCTCCTCCCTCCTCCTCCTCCTCCTCCCTCTCCTCCCTCCTCCTCCTCCTCCTCCTCCTCCTCCTCCTCCTCTCCTCCTCCTCCTCCTCCTCCTCCTCCCCCTCCTCCCCCTCCTCCTCCTCCTCCCCCTCCTCCTCCTCCTCCTCCTCCTCCTCCTTCTCCTTCTCCTCCTCCTCCGCCTCCTCCCCTTCCTCCCCCTCCTCCCCCTCCCCCCTCCTCCCCCTCCTCCCCCTCCTCCCCCTCCTCCTCCTCCTCCCCTCCTCCTCCTCCTCCTCCTCCTCCTCCTCCTCCTCCTCCTCCTCCTCCTCCTCCTCCTCCTCCTCCTCCTCCTCCTCCTCCTCCTCCTCCCCCTCTTCGGTACCTCCTCATTTAACTCACCATTCCGCCTCCAGAGCGGTTGGTGCCGCGCCCGTTTTGCAGCGCCCGTCCTCCGAGCGCGATCGGCTTGAGGGACTTCACGCCCTTGCTGCAGCTATTGCCCTTGTTGGCGCTCTCGACATGGGCCACGATCTCATTGTACAGCTCCACCATGTCCTTGCATGGGCGGCCAACCGTAGCAAGCACTTGCTGGACGTCGGACTTCGAGATCGCGTTCTTCTCCGTGCCTTGCTTCACCATCAGCTTCTCGAGCTCGTCGCTTGGGCTGACGATGGACTTGCACAGCTGGATGGCGCGGCTGGCCATGTTGCGAGTCGTGTCGCTCCCACCCGCTGCGAGCATCTTGGTGCCAAGGCGCTTCAACGCCAGCGTCACGCGGGAGACGGCGTCGAAGCTCTCCTCAGGCGGTGTCGATGTGTTGTAGATGTGTTGTAGGTTCTTAAATCTACAGTGCATCTACAACTCATCTGCAACATTAGCAGATCGTTCGTAATCTTACTATTGTTCGTCCTCCTCCGACTCCACCTTTTTCTTCCTCGTGTGTCTCCCTCCTCCTCCCCGTTCCTGCTCTCCTCCTCGACCTCCTCAGATGTTATTCCTCACCTTTCTCCTCCTCGTCCTTCTTCTAACTCGTTGGGTTGTTTGCCCCCCCACCCCGAGCTCCTGCATGAGAGCCCAGTTGGCGTCGTCAGCCATCTCCCCCAGGGCCTTCTTCTTCGGCTGGAAGTTCATTCACTCCAGCTTCAGCGGCTCCGACATGAGATCCTCCTCGGCGTTGCAGGGCGCTGTCAAGAAGCCCTTGTCGTGGAACGCGTGCGTCACCCTCTCGCCCTTGTAGCCGCGCTCCCTGACGCTCAGCTTGGAGACGCTGTGGGCGTTCTGATACCACTTCTTCGTCGACTCATTGTAGACGAGCTCGGCAGCGTCCACCGCCTTCTGGGCCAGCTCCTCGTTGCCGTTGTACCTGCCACCGACCATGCTCCACCAGCCCCGGCCGTCGTAGGGCTCCTTCTCCTCGTCGCGCACAAGTGGGACTGGACGGTAGCGACGGTCTGGTCCTTCACGACGAAGCCGTCGCCATTCGCGGCAGTGCGGCGCACGCAGGCATTCACGATCTGGTTGATCTCGGCTTGCTTGCTTGGCTTCTTGCTGTTCGGGTCCACCAGCCAATCGAGCCGCTCGACGAGCTTCTTGTCGAGCATGTGCTTGTGCTTGGCAAACGTGTAGCGCTGCCCGCGCGTCGTGCTCCTGCTGCCAGGCTCTCCGTCGGGCTTGTCCTCCAAGGTATTGTCGTCGTCGTCCTTCTTGGCGAGCTTGGGCTCGTCGTCGGCTCGGCTTTGCCACGCCGCAGGCCGCTTCGCCCCGAGGGCGGAAGACGCTGCCATGGCGGCGCGCTTGGCGACCACCATCCCAGCTCAAGCGCTGGAGCACTGGAAGCCGAGAGAAACTCGAGAGAGCTCTCAAGACACATGGTTGCGGAAAAGGGCTCTGAACTTGAAACACGCTGCTGCGTTTACGGCGTGGGGAAGATCTTGTTGCGAGGGCAGAGGACTCCGTGGTTTTGTGCCAGGCCAAAAAAGGTGTGAGCAACTCGGTCCATACGAACCCCCAACGAGTACCCCCTATCTAGGTGGGGCCATTGGCCGTTGATGCCAACCAAACGGGACCCAAATTGTTGAGGGAGGGGGGGGGAGGAGGAGATTTCCCGACACAATCTAACACGCCAGTCTAACCAAACCCTTGGCCAAATCGAACGTTGCAATCTTAGCAATGACCGACGTGACTACAGTCTTAAGCGTGGCCAAAAACTAAGTACAAACTAAGTACGGTTTAAGTCTAATTCTAAGCTCTAAGTTCAGTCGAAGTTGTTCACTGAGTACAAACTAAGGTTCAATGTAAATTGCGTCCAGACCTTAATCTTAACTTAAACTTAGTTTTCTGTGTCTGCCGGATACTCAGGGTGACGTTACTGGGAGGGGAGGGGGGGTCGCCGCCGGTAACGGGCGTTATCGCGAATATCTTTAAATCATGGGCTCATGTTCGTTTTGGGACGCGTCACAGGGCCTGGCACGCCAGTCGCTGCGCAGCGAGGCGGCAGATGTTCACCGCTTCGAGGTCCACGTGGCACTCTCCTTCCGAGGAAATCTGATTCTGCAGACGCGGCGTCCTCCAGGCGCAGCGGTGTCGGCTTGACGCGCCACGTCTCTGACTTCGAGGTGCTGGCATCGGCCACTGCGCCTCCTCCTCCTCCTGCTCCTCCGCCTCCTTCTGCTGCTCCTCCTCCTCCTCCTTCTCCTCCTCCTCCTCCTTTGCCACCCGGCTCCGCCCAGGCGGGCTCCCGGATCATCGAGAGCAACCTCGTGGGCGGGCACACCGCCAGCGTGAACGGCATGGTGGAAGGCCTCTGCAGTCTGCCGCGGATGCTGCGCAGCGCTGCCCGTCTCCGATCTGCGGCTTCGGCACGCGCGCTGTCAGGAGCGAAACAGGGACGTGCATGCCGGTCGTTGAAAGTAGGTGTCTTTGGATTCCCATATCCCAGTCTATTTCAAGCGCTTCCCTACTTCAAGAGTCGATGTGCTTTTGCTGAGTTGTGTTGTTCTCGGAGAGGGCCTGAGCCCAATCTACTGAATCCGCCTTCCTACTTCATTTGCTCACCTACTTCTGCCGACCGACGTGTGCACGTGCATGAATCCACGTTGGTTTCGAGAGTACGCATTGCGCGAACGTTCGTCTCACGCGGCCCGCCTCGCAGATGGGGGGGCCGTGTTCATGTACGTGGTTGGGCGCTTGCTTTGTGGGCTCCTTACTCTGGGTCACCCGTGGGGGCCCGCGGACGATCGCATGTCGCGCGTCGCGACCTGGCGCCGCAGAGCCGTCCTTCTCCCGGGCTGGCGGCGCAAGAGGGCGGGAAGACAACCGTGCCTCGCGCCTCGCGCGGCGTGCAACGCGCAGATAGGTGACCTACGGAGGCGCTGCTGGCAAGGAGGCCTTGGCGGCACCCACCTGCGCTGCAGCGCCGTGGGCTGAGACTTTTTCTGTGCGTAGCGCCACTTCTCGTGGAATTATGGCTGAAGAGTATGATATCACAGTGTGCGAGCCCGCTTCGGCGGTCGCAAGATCTTGTCGGCTGGGTCGACAACCTATTTGGTAGCCATACCAAGTTGTTGCACTTCCGTGTGTTAGCTTCCTCTATCCCACGCTGCTCCTCTACGTTCTATTTGACGCACACCCCTCGAGCGAAGGCAAGCGCGTGGACTGCATCCTGGGGAATATTCGCATCCAGGAGTTTTTCTTCGCGATCGAGGTGCTGCAAGGCAAGGTGATGACGTTTGTCAACCAGGATCCTTGCTTCTGGAAGGGCAGAGCGAGGAGGAGCAGGACGATGATACGATGAGCAGGAGGAGGGGGAGGAGGAGGAGGAGGAGGAGGAGGAGGAGGAGGAGGAGGAGGAGGAGGAGGAGGAGGAGGACAAGAAAGAAGAGGGGGCAGAGAGTAGGGTGGAAGTGCGAGGTTGTGTCGCAGGAGAGGGGCGTGACCTTCTGCTGGATGCCTCCGCGGGCGCATGCCCGGACGATCGGACCCGAGCGGTGGCCACCGCTTGCGGGTTCCTCTTGGGGGGTGCGACGTGGGGCGGGCGCAGGCTGCGCAGGCGTGGGGCGGGGGCGGCCGCGGCTCTCGAAGCCTCCCCTGCGCGGAGGTGTCCTGGGGGCCTCTGGAGGCCTCCAGGGGCCCATAGTGAGGCCGAGACAGGGCCAGCAGCGCCTCGAAACCTCGAGCCTGCACAGATCCTCGATCCTCCACGGGGCCCCCAGGGGCCTCGAACCTGAGGCCCCCAGGGGCCTCAAACCTGAGGCCCCTGGGGGTCTCGAACCTCAGGCCCCCAGGGGCCTCGATCCCAGACCCTCGAAGCTGGGGCCTCCAGGGGCCCCACCGAGGCCGAAAGGGGGCCAGCAGCGCCCCAAGCACTTCGCGAGCCTACATGGATCCCCGATCCCTCGCAGCGCGCTTCCCTGGAGCTCCGAACCTTTTCCCAGGATGGGGCTGCGCGTGCCTGGTGGGGGGGGGGGCGACGAATGGGGGGGCAGCGAGGGCTTTTAGAGCCTCCAGAAGGGTGCCCGTAGGGCCCGAAATGTGTACCTTTCTCCCCCGCCCATGCACCGTTCCCCCATGAAGTGACGCCCAACAGGACCGGCTTCCCCGGAGGCCATGACCTTCTCCTTCTTCGGCGAGCGAGGGCGGGAGGTGAGAAGGAGAAGGCCTTCTCAGAAGGCGGCGGAGCTTCTCAGAAGCCCCCTGCGCCATCTGAGAGGTTTGCTCCTGGCATCGCTCGGACGTGTGCGTTTTTTCTTCGGCGAGGACCATCGGGGAGCATCCTTGGCCATGTGCCGAAAAAACCACGCACGAAACCGAAAAAAACACAGGGAATGGACGTCCGAGCGATGGCGAGTTCTGTGCCTTCGGGGAAGGCTCAGAAACTTTTTCGGACGGCCTGGGGACTTTCGAGCCTTCTGAGAAGGCCCGCCCCTTCTCACTTATACCCCCTCCCCCCCGCCGGCTCGCCGCCGATTCCTCGGGCCGGCTTTTTCCATCCCGAGCCGTTCTTCGAAAGTCCCCCGGGGGGCCAGTGGAGGGCCCCCGGGGGGCCGAAAGCGGCGGCGTGGTGACCGCCCCAGAGATCCAACGTATTGAAAAAAACAAGACGCAGGTTTTTCATAATTTTCGACCTCTAGAGGCCCTCGTCGGGCCCCGGGACCCTCAAAAAACGACTCGGGATGAAAAACCGGTCCCGGGGAAGGGGTCCAGACCTCTGGGGGTCGCGTCGTGAAAAAATCACGACGTCGGGGGTCTGGGGCACCGTGTGATGAGTCGGGCGGGGTTTCGGGGTGGCCACGTGCACGCTTTGGGATCTTTCGGGTCGCTCTCCGAGGATGTCTCGGGCGGCTGGGGCACCAAAGCCGTGCGGCGACAGACCGTAGGTCTTGTGGGCTTGCCGGCCACCTGCAGCGGGGGGCAGGGGGGGGAAGGCTTCTTAGAAGTAATGCCCCTGCTTCTCAGAAGGCGCTGGCCTTGTCTGCAGATACAAGGGCCGGCGCCTTCTAAGCAGCCTCCTTCTGAGAGGCCTCCCCCCCTCCCCCGTACCCCCCTCTGCGCGCCGCCGAGATTTCGAGGTCACCATACGGTCTGTCACCACACCGCTTGGGGACCCCCGAAAGTCCTCGTCTCGGCGCGAGGAGGCGGGGGAGGCCCTCGCGGCGGCCTCTGAGAGGAGGAGGAGGAGGAGGAGGAGGAGGAGGAGGAGGAGGAGGAGGAGGAGGAGGAGGAGGAGGTTCGGCCCTTCAAAGCAGCTCCCCTCGCCTCCTCGGACGGCCGCACACCCTCCTCTGCGCCCCGCCCCACGCAGTGCGCGCCGCCACGGGAGATCCCGCTCGCACGCCATGCACAGACCGCAGCGCGGCAACCAGGAAGGCACCGGCTGCTTCGAGCGCGACGCCCGCCGCAGAAGGCGAGGCGGGATATCCCCAAAAGGAAGCGCTGGGCCCCCTTAAGGGCCTCGGGGCCCGGCGGCCGCGGCCTGCCGCCGCCGCTCGCTCGTCGAGGACGCGAGCCGGGAGCCCCCATATGGGGGCGCTGGGCCCCCCTGGGGCCCGGCAGCCGGCGGTCTGCCGGGTGCGCGCGGCGGGCCGTGCTCTTTCTTTCGGCCCAGCTCGGCCTGGAGGGTTTCTCCGCAGGGCTTAGGCGACCCGTCCTCCTCCTCCTCCTCCTCCTCCTCCTCCTCCTCCTCTCCTCCTCCTCCTCCTCCTCCTCCTCCGCCTCCGCCTCCTCCATCTCCTCCTCCCCCTCCTCCCCCTCCTCCACCTCCTCCTCCTCCTCGGGTCGCCTACGGCCCCGGGGGAAACCGTGCAGCTCGGCCCCCATCATCGCGCGGCGATTCACGGGGCCCGAACCCGGGCATGCACACGCCAGTCGCGCACGTGTTCCGCGACGCCCGGGAGTGGAGGGCCTCGGGGATGCGGCGGCCGCCCGGGCCAGATCGCCGAGATCGTGCACGGCGTCGTCACCGAGTTCCACGGCGCCGCCAACAAGAACAACGGCGGGCCGCCCAGCGGCACTTGGGAGAACGTTCATGCGAAGAGGGCCGCTGGGTGAGGGGTTGGTTCGGGAAGGGCTCCCAGGAGATGGAGCGGGAGGTGGGAGGAAGGAGATGATGTGGGATCAGGAGGGAAGGAGGGAGGAGTGCAGACGATTGGAGGAAGGAGAAGGAGGAGGAGGAGGAGGAGGAGGACGACGACGACGACAACGGGGACGACGAGGAGAGTAGCAAGAGGGGGAGCAGGGGAGGAGGAGGAGGAGGAGGAGGAGGAGGAGGAGGAGGAGGAGGAGGACGACGACGACGACGACGGCGAGGAGGAGGAGCCGGAGGAAAGGAGAAAACGGCAAACTCGTTGCAACATTACGGACTTCAGGTCCGGAGGCATGCTCTGGGCGTCGGAGGTGCATGCTCCTGAGAGCGTTCCGGAGTGTGGAGGGCCGCGGCAAGTCGGAGTCTGCAGTCGGCGCCACTAGCAGTGAGGATGCGTTTGTCCCAAGGAGCTCCTCTGTGGCCGCCCCTGCCTGCCGCCCGCGTGTGCGCAGTCCGCCTTGCAGTGTCCCGGCTTCGGCTCCGACAGCACCGTGCGGCCGCCGGCGCTGCGGCTGAAGGAGTCTTGGTCCCTGGATGCCCCGGCATCCTCGCCGCCTCGATCCATCAATTTCCTTGCATCCCGGGCTTCTCTGCGCAACATGCGGACGCACAAGGACCGTGCACCCGTACGCATCTTCACCTTGCATCCTCATGACGTGACGCGGCCATTGGAGTCGAGAGGGCCTTTTCCTGCGCTTGGTGTGGTAGCCCTGAGGGAGGGGGGCAGTTTAACATCCAGTGTCGCCCCCGAGACGCAAAAGCCGCCCCCCGTAGACCAGAGCGTTGCTAAGCATGACTTTGAACATTCCGCCCGGAGACGTCGAAGAATGGAGAATTCCTTGACCCACGGCTGCAATGTTCTAGTGCGCGCCAATGTCCTGGTTTCTGGGGCCACCACGAGGGTGAAAGTCATTCGCGCTCCGAGCTTCGCGGTCTGGGCGATGCCAGAGCGAGAGCGAGGGGCGGACGGGGGGGGGGGCGGCGCGAGAGCGCGAAGTTTGTCGCGGAGCGCGAAGCGCGAAGCTAGTTGCCCGAGTAGCTTAGCTAATTCCCCGCTTTACGGGGCCCTGACATGACAACCAGCACGCTTCCCCAGGAGAGAGTTCGCCTCGGCGCGCTGGCGCCCCCGCCCGACGTGCGGAGGACTCGTGCGCCCGCGGGGGCGCGACGATGGCCCGAAGATGCCGCAGAGGTCGCCGGCGCTGGCTCCCAGCAGTTGTATGGTCGAGAGCCTCGAGACGGGGGTCATTGCAAACGGGGGTCGGCCAGAGCGCTGGATCTTGGAGTTGCTATCGCTCGGACGTGTGCACTTGTTCTCGGCGGGGATTGTTCAGGAGCATCCTGGATCATCCTGCGAACAAAAAAAAAAAAACACGCACGTCGTCCGAGCGGTGGCCAGATGGAGGATCCTGCAAAGCCGAGGCTGCAGGGACCCGGGCTCGCGCGCAGGATCCCGCAGGAGTCTGCAGGACCCCGCGAGGCCTGGCCGGCCCGGGTGGGCTCTGGCCCGGGCCAGCGGGAGCCCGAGGCGTGGAGCCTCGGGCGCGCCTTCCCTGCAGTCGGGCCCGTCCCTCTACGGGGGGGGGAATCTCCAAGGATAGTCCAGACATGGTCTGGGGACCATGTTTGGGAGCATTCCTGGGCAGCTTGGGGGCATTTTTTGGCGTATTTCGTCTATCTCGTCCAGAGAACTCCCCCTTGTAGGGTTCTGTCAGGCGTGTCCCCCTACAGGGGGGCTTTCGACGAAAAATAAGACATACCCCAAAAATCCCCCAAAAGGTCAATCAACATCTTAAAAAAATAGTCCCCAGACTATTTCTGGACTATTTTTTGATTATGTTTGGGGTATCCTTTATTTTTCGTCGAAAATCCCCCTGTAGGGGCACAGGCCCGGCTTAACTGGGGTATCGGCCCGACCCGGAGCCTTCCCCCCGCCTGCCGGGGAGGGCCCGCGGCGGCTGCGGCCCTGGGCGGACGGAAAGGAGAGGCGCCGTTGTGCAATTTAGGCCGGCGACGAGGCGGCGACCGCGGCGACTTTGGCGGCCAACGCGGCGCGCAGGCCCAGGGCGACGGGGCGGCGACGGGGCGGCGACGACGGCGACATGGCGGCCACAGCGCCAGACGAGCCCAGACGGCGGGCGGCGACGGCGGCCACACGGCGGCCAGACCGCCCGGCAGGCGCAGACGTCGGGCGGCGGCGAGGTGGCGACGGGGCGGCGACGGCGGCTGCACAGCCGCGGGACCGCTGGACGGGCCCAGTTCCGCCGAGAAGAAGCGAGAACCCCCTGAGTGCAAGAACTGCTTGGGGGAAGCGTGGCGTCGGGGGCCTGGGGCTGTAGCTCACCAGGCCTCGGCGCGACAAGCTGAGCGCGTTCCAGTTCCCACGCGCCAGCCAGCGTTCCGAGCTTCTCCCAGTCTCCTGCCCCGCGAAGCAGGGCAACACGCCATCGGCCTGCAGGGCATAGCGTGCCGCAGGGGCCGCAGCCGCGACACGCTAAGCAAAAGTTCCTGACCGTAGACGACCGAACCTGACACCCGCCGCTCTGATTTTGTTCACTCCGCGGCCCTGGAGGTCGCGACCGCTTCCCCGGCGATTAAGCTGCGTCCTGGACCCATTCTTTGATGGCCCAGGCGCCTTCGGCCCCCGAGGCCCGAGATCGCGGAAACACCGCCCTTGGCCTGACCAAGCAACCACGCCGCCGGAAATTGGGGTTTAGTTGGGATCCGACGCTGCGAAGAATGGCGACCCGGGGGGACCAGAGCCTTGGACCGCATCGTTCTGCGGCACTTCTCGAGCCGCACCGATCTGCGATGGTCCCAGGGCCCCGAGTCCGAGCGACAGTGCCCGGCGCAGCAAGAATCGCGACGCCAGCATCGCAGGGAAGTCCTGACCCCGAGGTCCGCGCCGCCGCGCCGCCGCGCCGCAGGACCCGCCCTCGACCGCCGCTTTCCGCACCTTCCGCGCGGAAGGTGCCGCGCGGCCGCGGACACACCGCCGCGGCCACAGCGGCGGCCGCCGTCGAGGCCGCAGCGGCGGCCGCCGTCGAGGCCGCATCGCGGCCGGCACCTTCCGCGCGGCAGGCGCGGAATTGTGCAGGTCGCAGGGCCCTCGCCACTCCCCTTAAGTCGGGCCTGTCCCCCATCCAGCGGGATTTTCGACGAAAAATAAGAAATACCCCCAAAATACTCCAAAAATGGTCCAACAATAGCCTGGGGACTCTTTCTTGAACATTGTTCGACCTTTTTGGGTTCTTTTGCTTCTCTTTACCCAGACCCCCGACGTCATGATTTTTTCATGACGCGACCCCCAGAGGTCCCGACCCATTCCCCGGGACCGGTTTGTCATCCTGAGTCGTTTTTTGACGCTCCCGAGGCCCGGCGAGGGCCCCCGGAGGCCGCAAATGGCGAAAAACCTCCCGTCGTGATTTTTTCACGACGCGAGGAGGTCTGGGTATTCTTCGTCGAACATCCCCCTGGTCTAGGGGGGACCGCCCCGACTTGACCCTCCCGCGATGGCGGCCGAGCAGCGCGCGGCGCGCCGGACGGCCACGCTGGCGCGTCACGTCGCCGCTCCGGCCGCCGCCGCGCCCCGCGGCGCCGCCGGCTGCGGCCCCGCGGGCGCGGCCGCGGCGGGCGGGGCCCCCGAGCGGAGGAGGGCCGCGTGGAAACCCGATCGGGCCTGAGCTCCTCCTCCTCCTCCTCCTCCTCCTCCTCCTCCTCCGCCTCCTCCTCCTCCTCCTCCTCCTCCTCCTCCTCCTCCTCCTCCCCCTCCTTCGGGTCCTCCTCCTCCTCCTCCTCCTCCTCCTCCTCCTCCTCCTCCTCCTCCTCCTCCTGGGGAAAAGGAACGTCGCCCTCGGCTCGAGGGCGCGGCAGGCGCGCCTTCGGTGGCGCGCGGGCGCCAAGAAAGCTCGATCTTCCCATCGGGGCCCGTTGGCAGAACAACGGACCTTACCAGCCTGGAACATATCCCTATCCCTATGCTGGGCACCTCCTCATCACGGTGCCAGTCTCAGGGATTCCCTTATTTTTGGGGGCGGATCCCTAAGATTGTCATCGCCTCTTGGCGTGTCAATCTTAGGGGTAGGGATACGTTCGAGGCTGGTAAGAAGTGCAGCAGAGGCCCCGGCCTCATCGCGGTGCGACGAGACGAAAAAAACACGACGGGAGATTTTTCGCCATTGTCGGCCTCCGGGGGCCCGTGCCAGGCCTCGGGGGCGTCAAAGAACGTCTCGGGATGAAGAGCCGGTCCCGGGGAAGGGGTCCAGATTTGTTGGGGGTCGAGGCGGTGCGAAAAAGATCACGACGTCGAGGGTCTGAGAAGGTAGCGCGTGCGGCGTCGCAATGTTCTGGCAGCGTCGGATCTCAGGGAAGGTACCGCTGGCCTTACCGTTGCCTCGTGTTCTTTTCTGGGGGGTCTCATGGGGGGCCCTCGTCGCCACGGCTGGATTCGTCTCAAGATGCTGGGCAGATCGCATCCCAGGAGAGGCCCAGGGAGTAGCTGTATTGGCACTTCGCGGTTTCCCCAGAAACAACGGCGGCCCTACCTTGAACAATCAAACACTGAATGCGCAGAAACTTTCGGAGCTCTGAGCGGATTTCTTGTATCGTCGCTGGACCCCCCTGGCGGCGCCTCGGGCACCGCCCCTGGCGCGCTCCGCGCGCCAGGGGTGGAGGATGGAGGGTTTCAGCGCTGATCCAAGGAATCCGCGCGGTGGCCTGACATGTTCTATGTCTATGCCATGTGTTCTTCTTCAATGCCCTTGCGTTGCTCGCACTTGTTACATCTTCTGGAGGCTTCTCCTCGCCACGACTGGATATTTTCCTATGTTGGGCCTCGTAGGGGGCTTCTCGGCGCCACGACTTATTCCGCCTCAGAAAAATCGGGGTAGGATGGACCTCAGGAGGGTGCAGGACCGATTCTGAGCGCGGATTTTGGCCCGTAGTGGGCCCTGGAAACGGCAGGGCTGTTTTTTACCGGTTCCGTTTTGCAATTTTTTTGCCGGTTCCGACGCTGTTTTTATACCGATTCCGTCGCCGTTTTTTGACCGGCTCCGGCTCCGGGTCCAATCCTGGAGCCTTTTTTCCCGTTTCCGGACCCACAAAGCCTTGGACATTCTCCGATCTGTGTTTTTGGTTTTGCATCCGCCGCCCACTGGCCCCGACCCCTTCCCCTGGAGCTGGTGGGTATAGTGTTCCGCCCGGGATCCGTGCTTGATGGCCCCCAGGGCCCGATGAGCGGCCCCCGAGGGCCCAAGTCAAGGGGAAACTCTCCAGGACTGAATCACATTGTCGGCGATCTGTCGAGGCAGGAAAGCTGCATCCACAGGAGCTGCCGGAGCCCCGCGCAGCTTCCTCGGATCCAGGGGCGCCGCGCGGAGCTCCGAGAGCTTGTGTGTGCCTGCTTGCGGTGTCCTCGTCTTCTGGTCGGGGGCCGCACCTGTCTCGCTTGGGGGCCCTCCTCCGACCCGGGCCGAGGGAGTTCGACTACGTCGTGGTCGGCGGCGGCTCGGCGGGCTGCGTGCTCGCGGCCCGCCTCAGCGAGGACCCGCGCGCGTCGGTGCTCCTGATCGAGGCGGGCGGCCCGGGGGGCACCCGCGCCGTGCGCTGGCCCTTCAGGTACGGGGTGGACCTGCACGGCCAGGACTCCGAGGTCCTAGCAGCCACGCGCAAACCCAGACCCCCTCGCGTCGTGAAAAAATCACGACGGGAGGTTTTTCGCTATTTTCGGCCTCCGGGGGCCCTCGCCGGGCCTTGGGACTGTCAAAAAACGACTCAGGACGAAGAACCGGTCCCGGGGAAGGGGTCGGGACCTCTGGGGGTCGCGTCATGAAAAATTCATGACGTCGGGGGTCTGGGAAGAGGGGTGGGGGGAGGGGGGAGGGCTTCTTAGAAGCACCCCTGCTTCTTAGAAGGCGCGGGCCGTACCTATAGAGGTAAGGCGGGCGCCTTCTAAGAAGCAGCCTGCTTCTAAGGAGCCCTCCCCCCTCCCCCACACCCTTGTGCGCGCCGCCAATTCTAGGTGCTCCAGAGGGGGTCAGGGCAGAAGGGGGTCGGAGGGTAGCGCCGCCTCACCGCTGCATCGCCGGTGCGGCTCGATGTGCAGCCCGATGTTCTCCACGCCGACGTCGCCGGTGCATCGTCAATGCAGCGGCGATGCGGCGCGATCCGCCGACCGCATCTACTCGAACCCTGTCTAGGAGGCCTCTAGAGGTGGACTGGGCGTTCAAGAGCGAGCCGCAACCGCGCCAATGCTTCAAGAAGAAAGGACGGCACGGACAGAAACTTTCGGAGCTCCGGGCAGATTTTCTGGATTGGCGAAGGACGCCCCCCTCCTTGGCGCGCTCCGCGCGCCAGGGGCGGCGCCGCCAGGGGGCCCCAGCGCCGATCCAAGAAATCCGCGCGGAGCTTCGAATGTTAATGTTTGTGCAGATGTTTCTTCTTCGAAATACGGCACCGTGCACCCGTGGCCCCGCGGCAGGTGCCTCGGGGGCAGCTCCGCCATCAACGCGCTGCTCTACGTGCGGGGTGACCCCAAGACGTACGACGCGTGGGCGAGGCTCGTAGGCATACGACGCCGACGCGACCCCAAGTCGTCCCTCGCCGACGACGACGTCGGCTCACGTACGACGCGACCCCAAGTATGTGACGGCGACGCATCAACATCAGGCTCTGGAGCTCCGCGCGGATTTTTCGGATCTGCGCTGAGCCCCGCCTAGTGGCGCCCTCAGCGCCGCCCCTGGCGCGCTCCGCGCGCCAGGGAGCGGAGGGCGTCCAGCGCCGATCCGAGCACTCCGGGCGGGGAGCCAGAAGTGGCTGCTTGTGCCTGTTGGCCCCTCCTCCAGAGGCTCGGCTGCGAGGGGTGGGGCTGGGAGGAGGTGCTGCCCTTCTTCAAGAAGGCCGAGGGCTGCCTCTTCGGCGCCCCGGGCGACCACGGCGCTACCGGACCGCTCCAGACCCGCCGCATGGACGACATCCTCGCGGGCGCCGGCGAGCAGTACGCGCAGGTCTCGCGCAGGATCAGCCGTGCTTGCGTGGAGGCCTTGGCATCGCTCGGACGTGTGCATTTTTCCTTCGGCGAGGATCATCGAGGAGCATCCTCGATCATCTGGCGGAAAAACCACGCACGAAACCGGGAAAAACACAGGGAATGGACGTCCGAGCGATGGCCAGAGGCCGGGATCGTCCGCGAGGGCACCGAGGACTACAACTCTGGGCCCCTCGCAGGGGCCGGAGGCACGGCGCAGGTCACCATCGGCCGAGACGGCACGCGGTGCGACACGGCGCAGGCGTACCTGCGCGGCAGCGGGGCGGACAAGCGGCCGAACCTGACGATCTGGACCTACTGCCAGGCCGAGCGCGTGGCCTTCGAGGGCACCACCGCGGTGGGGGTCTGGTACCGGCACGGCCGGACGCCCGCCGAGCTGCGGCAGAATGCCAGCTGCGCCGTCTTCGCGCGGCGTGAGGTTCGGGAAGGGAGAAAACACACAGAGCTAATCGTCGATGCCCCCGAGAATAGACGAAGATCTGGGACGTGGGGTGGAAAAGGCAGAAGCCCAGAAGCCACGGGAAAATGGGGGGCATCCCGCGAGGTGCGCACCTCTTTGCGCGTCCCAGGGCCCCCTCAGAGGTGATCTTGGCCTGCGGGGCGGTGCAGTCGCCGCAGCTGCTGATGGTCTCCGGCGTCGGGCCAGAGGAGCACCTGCGGGCGCACGGAGTGCCCGTGGCCGTGCCGTCGCCCGGCGTCGGCAGAGGGATGCTGGATCCCAGAGAAGGAAAGGGCACACGCCTGTCGTTGAACGTAGGCATTTTTGGATTCCCACATCCCAATCTACTTCAAGCGCCTTCCTACTTCAAGAGTCGGCTTGCTGTTGCTGTGCTTTGTTGTTCTCTGGGAGGGCCTGGACCCAATCCACTTGATCCGCCTTCCCACTTCATGTTTCTACCTGCTGCTTCCGACCGACGGGTGCCCATACCTCTACCCCTCGCCCGTTTGCCTCTTGTTCGGCCTCTTGGGAGGCCCTCGTCGCCACCGCTGGATTCGCCTCGGAATCTCGGTCAGAGCGCAACCCGGGAGAGGCCCGGGGAGCAGCGGCATCGGTGCCTGTTGGCTTCCCCAGGACCACCTGTTCGTGCCACTCATCTTCGCCGCCAAGGAGACGGACACGATCGTGAGGGATGCCACGAGGCTGCCGGACACCCTGTCTCTGCTTTTTCGCTACCTCCTGGCCGGTGTCGGCCCGCTGGGGGGCTCGGGCATCTCGAACATAGCCTTCACGCGCACGGGCCTGCGAGGCGAGGAGGACCCGCACCATGACGAGGTGGACGTGCAGCTGCACGCGTGCGCTGGCGTCGCCAAGAGCTCGTCCCTGTCACTCTGGCAGACTCTGGGCATCGACGGCGAGCACGGCGAGATCTTCAAGGATCCCAACGCGCTCCCCCGCGGGATCACGCTCCTCCCGACGCTGCTGCTGCCGAAGAGCGAGGGCTGCATAGAGCTCAGGTCTTCGACGGGGAAGACACGGCACAAGCACAGACCGTCGGAGGTGCGCGCAGCTTTCTTGGACATGCGCCGGGCGCCCCCTGGCCCAGGCAGGAGGGCCCAGCGCGGACCCGAGAAGTCCGAGCGGACCTCCGCCAATCGTGTTCGCCACCCACCAAGCCACCCCAACCCAACCCGAAGGCTTCAGTTTGCCCTGCATTCCCAGTGGAGGGGGGGGGCTCGGGGAACGTGGCAGAAACCCATGGAACCCGTACCCCCCCAACCCGAAATTCGGGTCACATTCGGGTCCTCGGGTTGGGTTGGGGCGGTCTGGTAGGCAGTCGTGTGCGCTGTGCCGCTTGTTGGCTCCCCTGGGTCCGGCGATCCCCTGGACCCGCCCCGCATCTGCCCGGGCTACCTCGCCGACGACTACGACCTCCAGGCGCTCGTGGACGCACTGAAGATGTGCCGGCGCCCCGGCGTCTGCGGATCACGCGGCCAGCGATCACTCCCCAGCCTCGAGCTTATCCCTATCCCTGAGATTGACACGCCAAAGGGCGATGACAATCTTGGGGATGCACCCTCAGAAACCGAGGGGATCCCTAAGACCGCCTTCGCGATGAGGCGATGCCCAACATAGGGATAGGGATATGTTCTGGGCTGGTAAATCACAGGTCGCAGTGATCTGGGGTCGGCGTCACCCCAACCTACTTATACTGTGTGTGCGTCGCCCCCCCAGGGGCCACGCGCGCACCGAAAAAGCTTCTAGTATATGCGTCGTGGCGGGCGCTTTGTGGCCACACCGCTCGGGGAACGATATACTGCAAGATGGGTATACCACATGCTCGGGTCGGACGTGCGCTTCCAAGGAGGACATCTAGTATTGGTATGGCGAGTATTCGTATGGCGTTGTGCGGCCCATGGGAATCACCCGTGATCGCCGATCACGTGATCGGATCGGCTTGGCCACGCGACCGTACGAGCTTGAATGTGCGATCGATCCGTGGTGGACGAGGTGGCCATCGTGCTCAGGGCTGCGATCGGGTCACGTGATCGGGTGGCGCGATCGGCCGAGGGGTCCGCCAGACGCCAAGGCCGCAGCGTGGCTGGAGCGCCCGCGCTCGCGGAGCTGCTCTCCCACGAGGTCGTCGAGCCCCGCATCGCGCACCCGGCGAACAGCGACGCGTACCTGGAGGAGTACGCGCGGCGCTTCGCGCGGAGCTCGGGCGCAGACAAAAACGGCAAGGAAAGCGGGCGCAGAGAATTTTGCGCACTCCCAGGGCCTGGCTTCGAGTCAGCCGCACCTCGGTTGATTCTCTGATTTGAGATTGCGCCGGAAATGCACCCCAAACGATGCGAAGAAGCAGGGCGGATGCTGCCGCAAAATGATTGCGGAAGCAGCGACGGCAAAGTAGTGCGAAAATCGACAGCACGGTGGACCCAGAGTCGGGGGCTCCCCTCGAGTCGTGAAAAAGTTGCGACGGGAGGTTCTTGTCGCACAGGGCTAGGACGAGGATACATCCATTCCAGAGAGCTCTGGAACGCTCCCAGAGCGTTCTGGGACGCTCTGAGAAGGCCGCGGCGCCCGAGACGTCCTTCAGAGCCGCCGGACCTCATAGATTCTCGAGTTCTTCTCCCCCGAGGTTGTCTCGTCCTGGCTTCGTATTGCCTTGACGGTGGTCGCCCCCATGGGGTGCCCGGGAGCAAAAACGGCTCAAGGACCAAAAGCCCGTCCCAGGGAAGGGGCCCAGACCTCCGAGGTCGAGGTCCACGTCGGGGCTCGACCGGAGCCCCGGAGCGGCGTTTCGGGGCGATCGTGGGCCCTTTCCGTTTTCGACCCCGTCTCGCAGCAAGAGCGGGCGGAGCACACAGCGAGGGAAGGCGAAAGTCACAGGAGAGCGGAAGGCACTGCTCGGATGGATCCCTGGTCCACGTCGGTCGGAGGTTGATAGACCTGCCCTGACACGTCGATTCGTGAATTGGCCCTTTTCGGTTCGCGAGAGGCGCCGCGGCCGTTCTTCTTGCGGGTCCAGGTCCGTCGGTTTCGGTCCCAGGCCGCTTTCGCTAAAGGGAGGTTTACTAGAGGGAGCTCTGTCCACCGCCGAAAGACAGCCTTGGGCCTCTTCACTGAGGTCCGCTCCCAAAGGATGAGGGGTACTGGTGCTGGTCATCGTTCTGCCTCTCCCCTCCTCCCCCCCCCCCTTCTCCTTCTCCTCCCTTCTCCTTCCTCCCTTTTCCTCCCTTTTCCTCCTCCCTCCTCCTTCCTCCCTCCCTTCTCGCGGAAAGCACTGCTCGGGTCGATCGTTGGTCCGCGTTGGGAAGCCGTCGGAGCGTCGGGAGGAGGAGGAGGAGGAGGAGGAGGAGGAGGAGGAGGAGGAGGCTATCGAGGGGGTCAGGACACCGCGGGCCTGGCCGGGCCCGTCCTCCCCCAGGAGGGCGCACGCAGCGGCCCTGGGCGAGGGGTGGGCTCGGCCAGGACCAGCGCAGGTGCGCAGCTCTGCGTCCCTCCCTCCTCCTCCTCCCTCCTCCTCCCTCCTCCTCCCTCCTCCTCCCTCCTCCTCCTCCCTCCCTACAGGAGGAATATTCAAGAATGGTCAACAACAAAAAGTCGGGGGATGATTTTTCGGGTACTCTTCCATCATGTTTGAGTACTTTTTGACTGTTTTTCATTCTTCGCCGAAAATCCCCCTGTAGGGAGACAGGCCCGACTTAAGCGTAGCTCTCCCCAGACGTGATCGTGTCGTGGAAGCATCAGGACGTCAGGTTTCCTGCTTTTTTGGCCTCGGGGGGCCCTCGCTGGGCCTCGGGGCCGTCAAACACGGCTCAGGATGGAAAACCAGTGCCAGGGAACGGGTCGGGACTTCCAGGGGCCCCGTATTGCAAAGAACAGGACGTCGCATGTCTGGGTCCATCCATCGTCCAGGACCGTGTACCACCCGATGCGCAGCTGCCGCATGGGGCCCGACGGCGACCCGCTGGCGGTCGTGGACTCCGCCTGCCGCGTTCGCGGGGCGCGGCGGCTGCGGGTGGTCGACGCCAGCGTCATGCCCACGGCCATGACAGGGAACACCAACGCGCCCACCATCATGATCGCGGAGAGGGTGGCCGCCATGATCCTGGCCACGGCGTGACGGCCGCACCCCGCCCGAGAGCACGGATCACCGCGTCGAGCTCACAAGAAGTCCAGCGTGGGGTCCCACAGTCCACGTCGGGTTATGGACTTCAATGTGACGAGCTGCTGCTCGATGGGGGCACGGGGGGGACGCGTCGGAGGGCGGCTTCCCCAGCAGGGGCACTCCTGCGCCGCCGGCCAAGCGTCAGAGGAGCAAGGGGTCATGGCGAGACCTCCAGGACTTTTCAGATGTCTTGATGCTCCAGGAGGCCGTCATGAAACGAGGGCCGCTGGATGCTCCAGAGTTCCTGGATCGCAGTGTGAGCCAATCGCATCATGACACCCCTCTCGTCCCAGAGCGGGCCTCGGCGCCTTCCTCTCTGTCATTAGCCGGGCATGTCCCAGTGCAGGAGGAATGTTCAAAGATAGTGAAAAAACAACATAGCCTGGGGGCGATGTTGCTACTATTGTCGAACATGTTTTGGCAATGCTGCCTTTTTCTTCCTGAATCCGCCTGTGGGAGGACATGCCCGACCTGACTCTGGCATGGCCTGGCCTTGCCCCCGTCGAACCCGCCCACGCGGCAGTGGGGCGCGGGGCGCACGAGTCGGAGGCCCCAGCTGCGGAGGTTGATCCAGAGGTCCCCTGCGCGGAGCCCCCGAAGGGCCCCGCCCGCAGCTTGGCCCGCCAGGCCGTCACTGGGCGGGGCCGCTGCGGGCACACGAGTTTCAAAGTTTTGAGTGCGCGTGTGTATATAGCTTAGTTCTGCGGCCTTCCGGCCTCGTGGGCCCGCCGTTCGGGCGAGAGGCCGGGACTCGACGGCGGAGGCGAAAACAAGGGAGCTCGGGCTTCGGCTCAGGAGGTGCCGTCTTCTCATGGCTGGGGAGGTTGGTGGTGGGGCCCCTCGGCGGTGGCGGCCCCTGCTGCTTGTGCCGAGGGCCTTGGCGCGGGCGGGAGGGCTGGCCCGGATCTGGCCTCACACGTGCCACGCCAATGCCAAACGAGCATCACATTGAGGGGGCCGAGGGGTCTTGCGCTGCCTCTGGGCGCGTTGCTGAAGCTGGGCCCGCGCTCCGGGTGATCATTGTCTCGCCCTGTCATCATCGCCCCGCGCCGCCCGCGACCCGCGACCCCTCTTACCCGCAAGAGCGGAGGCCTGCACACTCGAAGTGCACCGCGCATGCACTCCGAGCGTGTCTACTGAAGGCCCTCAATTCGCTCCTGGTGCATCCCATTGCTTGCCACGACCGGCGTATGACTGTCTTGGACCACTTGGCGACCGCGGGCTTAAACGACAGTGTGTATTCAGGGCTTCGGGCGCGAAAGGTGATGCGAAGCCGCCAGATCAAGGAAACCTCAGCTTCGTGAGGAGGATGAGGAGGAGGAGCAGGAGGAGGAGGAGGAGGAGGAGGAGGTGGAGGTGGAGGTGGAGGTGGAGGAGGAGGGAGGAGGGAAGAACGTCGCATTCGATTATCATCACTTTGCTGGCGTGGCGTCGCAGCAGATCCTCACGTACATGCTCTTTCTACCTGCCCTACGCATGCAGGCACTGTGGTGTACACCAGCGCTGCGTTGCACGCGGATGCTGTGGTGTAGACAGGCGCTGTGGCGTGCACAGGCGCTGCGGTGCGCGCAAGCATTGTGGTGTACAGAGGCGCTGTGTTGCACATGGTTGCTGCGGTGCTTTTTCACGTGTAGGGACGGGGAAGGGGTACCCCGGCGCTGTAGTGTACGCAAGCACTGTGGTGTACACAGGCGCTGCGTTGCACACGGTTGTTGCGGTGTACGCAGACACTGTGGCGCACACTCGCGCTTTGGTGCCCGCGAGCGTTGTGGTGTACACAGGTGCAGTGGGGCAGATCGCCACCTACATGCTGCTCGCGTCGTCGTCGTCGTCGTCGTCGTCGCTCGTCGATCGTCGCGTCGTGCGCGCGGGCGCGGCTGTGGGGCCGGAGCCACACGGCTGGGGGGGGGGGGCGTTGCGTCATACCCCACCTCCCCCCCCATGACGCCCGTCATCGCCGAACATAAAGAAACGCGCTCGAATAGCCACACGCTGGAGCAGACTGCCTCTGCCTCTCCTCTGGCGGATGAAGTTGTGTTTCGCCTGGCCAGGGGGCTCCCACCCAAGAGGGGGCAGCGGCTCCCGCCAGGGCGCTGATGTCGACTGAGGCGGGTCCGCGTAGATCGGGGCGCGCCCAGATTCGCAGAGTCAGAACGTGGTGGTTCCAGTTGGCCCCCGCGAAGTCCCAGAGCCCCCCCGGGAAGTCTGGCTGTAAGGAACCGAGAATGTGACGCCTCGCCCTCGGCGGAAACAGTCGGGGATGGACAGACCCCCCTTTAGTAAAACGCGGTTTAGTGAAAACGACCTGAGGCCCAAGCCTGGCGGGCGCAAGCCTGGAAAATAACGGCCACGGCGCCCTCTCGAGAACCGAAAACGGACAATTCACTAATCGACGTGTCATTGTTGGGGGTTCTGTCCACCCCCGAAACAGGCGGAAGAGGCCCGCGGCAGCCGCAGACTGCAAACCACCTTCGGCCTGGGCAGGGCGACCTCTGAGCGGTGCGATTCGAGATCGATTCCGGCCGGCTCTGCGCGGTTCGATTCCGACGCTGTTTACCAGCCTCGAACGTATCCCTATCCCTGAGATCGACACACCAAAAGGCGATGACAATCTTAAGGATTTGCCATCAAAAAATGAGGGAATCCTTAAGATTGGCATCGTGATGAGGAGGTGCCCAGCATAGGGATAGGGATATGTTCCAGGCTGGTAAACTGTTACGATCTTTCGGCACGAACGACACTGGGACGGAAAGAATGGGTACAACGCCCAGCAGCAGTTCCTGCCCGTCTTGAGCAGGACTCGCTGCCCACGCCGCCGCGGCCCGTGTCCATGCGAGACGGAAGGCCGCCTGCCCAACAGCGGCCGCTGTTGGTTTGGGACAACATGTGTTGTTGGGCAGTGTACCCATGTTTTCCGTACCCATTTCGGGCGTCCAAAAGTTTGTGCGGCCCGATGCTTGCATGGCGTTGTTCTGCAGCTGGCGCGGCCGATCCGATTCGATTCCGCCTCCGTGCCGATGCGGCCCGATCCGATGCACAGACCGATTCGGTTCGATTTGCCGATCCGATCTTTTCTGGGTGAGCCGTGCACGAAGACCACGCAGCACCGCCGGGCCGAGGTGTAAGAGCGAGGTCGGCTCGGGAGGGTATCATGACGTTCTTCGTGCTCGTTGGACGCTCTTGTGCGTCCTTGGGTGGTGCACCCTCGAGGGTTCTCCAGTTTGGCCTGCGAAGGGTCTCATTTACCAGCCTCGAACGTATCCCTATCCCTAAGATCGACACGCCAAAAGGCGATGACAATCTTAGGGATCCGCCCTCAAAAAATAAGGGAACCCCTAAGATTGGCATCGTGAGGAGGAGGTGCCCAGCATAGGGATAGGGATATGTTCCAGGCTGGTAAACTGGTACGATCTTTCGGCACGAGCGACATGGGGACGGAAAGAATGGGCACAACGCCCAGCAGCAGTTCCTGCTCATTTTGAGCAGGACTCGCTGTCCACGCCGCCGCACCCTCGAAGGTTCTCCAGTTTGGCCTGAGAAGGGTCTCATGTTCTTGAAGAGGATTCTTCTGTCCTAGGACCACGCAGCACCACCGCTTGCCATCCGCCGCCAGGAACGGGGGGGTTTCGGGAATGCCCCCCCCCGCCCGCCAGCGGCATCCCGCGGGACCGCAGGGGCGCCGACGCCGAGCAGGCATCGGAGCAGAGTTTTCTCGCCAGTCCAAAGGTCGCGCGGGACCTCCGGAGTCCCAGGGTGAACGTGTGGTCCCACGGCAGTTGGGCGCGAATTAATGCGGGGGCGATAGATGGGGGGGAAGAGAGCTGCCCTTTTCGGGCCCAACGGCCCCCGTCTGGGCCAAAAAGAATTCCTTTAGGGGCCCTGAAGGGCCCCTTCCCTCGCTGCCCCCCTAGTTACCACCCCCAGCTATCGCCGCCCAAGGCAGCATGCAAGCTTGAAGCGAATCCTCACAACCAAGGTGACCACATGATACTAACCGAGCGGGCACTCGTCGGCCACCAGGTGGCCTGTGGGGTCTGTGCCGAAGCCGCATCCGAACGTCAGTGTTCCATTTGTTTTCAGGGCTGCAGGCGCAGAGGTGAAGAAGGATTGTGGATGCGGGGAGGCGTCCGACGGAGCTCAGCCCCCACAGGAGCACAATCATCGGGCGGGGGAGCGAGGGGGGTGACCATTAGCTGCTGCACCAGCGCTCGCCAAGGCGATACCTACCTCGTGGTCTGGACGATTCTGCCCGACTCCGCGGACGAGGCTCCGGCGTGGGGCACACGGCACCTCAGAGTAGGTAGTTTTGGGGCACGGCCTGCAGCAAGTGCTTGTATCCAATGTTCTGCATTGCGCAGGGGCTGGAGCTTGGAGTCGACACGTAAGCAGCATGCTGCGCGAAGCCAGCAGCCCAGCAGAGGGGCGTGAGAGTGGCGCTCGGCCGTGAGTGCTTCGCAGAAGTGTTTCGCTGCCGCTCGCAGAACCAGACGTTTCGCATCGTGGGCCAACCAAGGTCGACGTACGCGAGAAAGATGCTTGCCAGCATGGACCCACGACAATGAGTTCTCTCACACTGGAATTGCAATACATGCGCATATTTATACATTTCCCTATCTACATATCTGCGTACATGTAATTACACATATACATATGAGGTCCACCAGGTGTGGTGCTATGTATGTTGTGGCGCAAGCTATGTGGTGAAAACTACGTGGTACAACAGATGTCGTGAGAACTATGGGTGCATTTAATTTGCTGAACTTGAAGTTGTCTTCTCCATTGCTCGAGCAAACATCCCACCCTCCCACCCGCAACTTGGTCAGCAAAACTCACCAGACCGTGGCTGCAAGTACCCAGCGAAGCTTCCTAGCGAGTACCTGACGCCGACGTCGTCGTCGTCGTCGTCGTCGTCGTCGACGCCGTCGCCGAAGCCGTCGTCGTGGTCGTCGTCGTCGTCGTCGTCGTCGTCGACGACGACGACGACGACGACGACGACGACGACGACGACGGCGCGCGCGCATGTGTCCTGCATGGTATTATTTGACACGGACAGTGGCCCTGGCAGGCGCGCGAACGTCGTTGAAGGAGCGCGCGAAAGTAGCTCGCACGAGCTCGTGCGACCGAAGTGTTGAAAACAACACTGGTTTTTTAAGGTTCGGACAGCGCGAGCGGGCAAAATTTTGTAAATCCGTGCACGTTTTTTTCGAGAACCTACGGTGCGATTCGTGTGTTTTTATGATACGCAGTGCTGAAATGCTCAAGAAACCCAATGGTTTTTGAAGATTTCGGCGCGCGCGCGCGAAGAAAAAACGAATGTGTCCCGCATGGCATTATTTGACAAGGATTATGCCCCTGGCAGGCGCGCAGCCGTTGTTGAAGAAGTTCGAAGCGCAGGAAAAAGTTGCTCGCAAGAGCCCTTTTGTCAGAAATGTTGGAAAAGTAATAGGTTTCCTAGGAATCCGCAAGAGCGCGCGGGGTGAATGTTTGAAACTTTGTTTTTGAAAAACCATTGGGTTTTTGATGTTTTTATGTTAAAATCGCTACGAGCACTAAGGTTTTGGAAGGATTTCGTCTTGCGCGCGCGAACGTGTCCCGCATGGTATTATTTAACAGGAATTCGTGAAAAAGTGTTATGTTAGAAAGAAAAATGTCCCCGCATAGTGTCATTTGACAGGGAACCGCAGGGGGGGGGGATACCGGCTTGGCTGGGATGGTATGAATTCATATTTAGGATGGACATGTGGTCATAATCATATGTAATTTACAGCACGCGCGGGGGAAGCGATAAGTCCAGGGGGGGGTAGAATCTATTACTCTTTTAGAAAGGAGAATCGACTTTCTGCAGGCGATGGTGTGCAATCTAATCTGGGTGTTCATCCAGTTGCGCCAGCCAATGCAGGGGACGCTCACGGGCGCCCAGCGGGCGAATACCCGGAACACGCAGCCAGCGCACGGCGCGCCTCCGAGGCGCCCACTGGCGCCCACCGGCAAAGAAACCCGCAACATCCAGCCAACTCCTTCTTGGCAGAGCCAGAGACAGCAAGAGGCCCCTTAGTGCAAGCACTGTGTGCGTGGGGAACCGTCGCCCAGCGACCCCCCCGGCGAGGCAGAGCTGCTCGGGGCAGATCCATGCCCCTCCGAGGCGCCGTTGGCTTCGCGAAAGCAGCGCCGAGGGCCGATCGTCGGGCTGCTCTTGCCCCTCCGCTGCCCCAGCCGTGCAGGAGCGGGCGGCCCTGAACAGGCCAGCCGCCCGCCTCCCAGACCAGGCGTTCCTCGCGGTCCCGCGGAGCCCCCAGCCCGCCCAGCCCGCGCCCTCCCCCCCCTCGCGCCAGGCGCCGACATCCGCTGCTTTGATGTTGTTCAATGCGCGGCGAAGTCCCGACCCCTTCCCTGGGGCCAGATTTCCCCCCCAGGTCGACGTTTGATGGTCCCAGGGCCCGATCACCGAAACCGGGTGCCGAAATCGAGGAAGCACGCCCAGACTGCAACAAATCCTATCGTCCGAGATTTGGGGGCGGGGGTCGGCCAGTACACAGCGTGTGGCTACCCCGGTGCATGGTTTCTGGTTTCCGATCTGCGCCGGCGGGGCTCGGGGGGCTCTAGGGCCTCGGCGGGGCGCGGCGGATAGCTCCGTCGAGGTCCCCGCCCGGCCCCCCGGGTGCGCGTTTTCAAGCCACACCCTTTGCAAACCACACAACCTTCGGAGTCGCCGAGGGCGGGGGGGGTGAAGCTCTCGTCAGGGGCCGCCCACCCCCCTCCCCCGAGCAGACGCCTGCAGCACTCCTCGCGGGTCCAAGAGCCGCGCGCACCAGCCGTCGGTGTGCCGCAGCGCCCGCCTGCTCGCCGGCGCGGGCTGCGCCCCGGTGCGTCGGCCTCGGTGGTCCCCCCCCCCTCGCGTGGCAAAGAGACCGCGACGGAATGATTTTTACAGTTTTCGCCGTCATGGGGCCGTTTTGCCAGCCTCGGGGTGCGTTCCAGCGGCTGCGCCTCGCTGAGAGCGTTCCAGGGGTGCCCAGGTCGTCCCGAACGGCCGCCAGAGAGCCGATGTATGACCCGAAACTCAGGTGGCCTCGCGCTGGCGGGGTCGAGGCAGGAGGCGGCGAGATAACGTCATCGTCGTCATCATCACCACCACCACCACCATCATCATCATCATCATCATCATCATCATCATCATCATCATCATCATCATCATTATCATCAGCAGCATCAGCATCAGCATCAGCATCAGCATCAGCATCAGCATCAGCATCAGCATCATCATCATCATCATCATCATCATCATCATTATCAGTATCAGTATCATCGTCACCATCATCATCACCATCATCATCAGCCTCAGCCTCAGCATCAGCAGCATCATCAGACACATCATTAGCAGCAGCAGCATCATCATCAGCATCATCATCATCATCATCATCATCAGTAGCAGCATCATCATCATCAGCATCATCAGCTGCAATATCATGATCGCCAGTATCATCAGCAGCATCATCATCGCGTCGTCGTCATAATCGTCGTCACCCCAGTAGTTAGTCTCGAGTGCGTTGTTTCTGTTGTTCTTCTTGGCATGTTATCCTGTGTGAGTGCTTGCACTGCCAGTTTCACACCGCAGGGTTGCGCGCCGCCTTCTTCGGGTCAAGCAATGTCAAGCCGCACACCAATCCACGTTTGGGGGTGGGTAATTTCAGAGGGCGAAGGTCGCGACGCCAAGTCTCAAATGTACTCTGCGGGGGCCTATGCTCACCAGCGAGGAGGTCGTCGGCTCAGCGAGAATAGAATGACGGGTACGGTGGAGCGGGCTTTGGTATGCCTCCGTACTGCCAGGGGCTTCGGTCACCGCCGCCGCCAGACTTGGACCAGAATGCTGGTCGACCCTGAGTTCCGAGCGCTGCAACTTTTTCATATTGGGACCATCACAGATCGATCAGGCTGGAGAAGTGCCGCAGACAAGTGGGGAAAGCATGCCCCGCAAGTAATGAAATCAGTGATGCAGTAGTGAGAGTTGGATCCGTGAGTGGATCAATCTTGATGGGCAATGTTAAGGCCATGATGCCTCTTTTGATTTTTGAGCTGGCTGTGATGCCCGCTCGTGCCCACCCCGTCGCGTCGCCAGGGCCTCCGCATCCCCCTATGATGATGGGATGGGTTCACGGTCCGCCTCCCCCAGCACTGCGCGTACCGTGCCGGGTTCGTGGGGATTTTGAGGAAGTCCATGGGGTTCGGTCCTGAGTTTTCGCGGTGTTGCAGTCGGCGGCGGCAAAGAGGGGTGTGATGATTAGGGGGGTGGATATCATGGCGTGGGTCATGATATTTCTCCAGATTTCATGGTGCCTCTTCTTATTTCGTTACGTCCATGCCCCCTCCGCTGGGCTGCGCACATGCCGCCGGTCATGATTTGCACCCCCCCCTCTTGGACACCCCCCTCTGGGCCGCTCCCGACGCAGGTGGTCCGCAACGTCGGATCTCAGGGGGGCGACGGCAGCAGAGGCGGTCCGGCTGCCCAGCGCTGGCCACGAGGAGGGAACGAGCCAGAGCGGGGGCCTCTAAAACAGGGCTAGGATCGGGATAAATCGCTCCAGAGCGTTCCGGAGCGCTCTCAGAGCGTTCCGGAACGCTCTGGAGCGGCCGCGGCGCCCAAGACATCCTCCCAACCCGCCGATTCTCCGAGATTTCGAGTTTTCCCGATCCGGTTTTGTCCCGATCTTCGCGTCGTTTTGGGCCTCGGGGAGGCTCCTTGGGATGCCCATGGGAGGCCGCGCGGGGGGCTTCCCGGAGGCAGTGGCGAGGCCTCTCGCTCGGAGGCCGTGCGGGAGAGTCCCGGGGAGCCTCGTACGGAGGGGCCCCGGGGGGCCCGGAGTTTGGCCACGGGGGCGCGCGGCGGGGCAAAAGAACCGAGTTTCGGGAGGGTGTTTTAAGTCGGGCCTGTCCCTCTGCAGGGGGAAGATCCAAAAACAGTCCAGAAATAGTCTGGGGACCGCGCCAGGCGCTGCAGTCGGGGCGGGAAGCAGGGCGGCGAGACGTGCATGTGCACCGCCCCTGGCCAGACCCCTCCTGGGCCCATGGGATGGGTGCTTATGCGCCAAGCCAGTAAGGCGCATACAGTCGGCTCCGATTAGTAGGTCGACCCTGCCAAATCAAGGGTGCCCTTAGGTACCCTTGTGTCCTGTGCCTCGCAACCCATGCCTCCTACATCCCCCATGACAATGTGGCCCTCGGAAGGGTCTTGTGTCCTCTCGCGTGTCTTGCCCAATCAAGGCGGCCAACTGTACAGTCAGCCCGCATAGTAAGGATGGGCAACCTTCCCCAAGGGTACCCTTGCATCCTTGCCTCCTCGGTACATCCTTCGCCACGTTCGTGGGAGCAGAAGCGACGCGTCAACGTGTCTTGGCTTACGGGGGGCCAACAAAACCAGGTGAGAGCAGAGGAAGAGGAGGGCAGAGGAGGGAGGAGGAATCGACGTACGGGGGCCAACAACAAGTAATTATAGACCACCACCACCTCTCTCGGCCCCTCCCCCTTCCAGGGTGAGGGCAGAGGAGGTAGGAGGGCAGAGCAGGGAGGAGGAATCGACGCGGGGGTGGTGGCTTACCGGGGGCCAACAAAAAGCATACACACCACCACCACCTCCCTCGGCCCCTCCCCCTCCCAGGGTGAGAGCAGAGGAGGGAGGAGGGCAGAGGAGGGAGGAGGAGGATCGACGTGGGGGTGGTGGAGTATATATCCTCGGGGCCCGCACGGTCCGGGCGGAGCGGCTGCTGGCCTCGCCGCGCTTCCCGTCGGCCGCGCCGCACCGCCGCGGGGCACGGGAAGGGCCCCCGGGCACGCCCTCCCCCCCTGCTACGGGGCAGGCAGCCCGCACAGCAAGGAGGGGCAATCCTCCCAAGGGTACCCTTGCATCCCTGCCTGCTCCTCCTCCTCCTCCTCCTCCTCCTCCTCCTCCTCCTCCTCCTCCTCCTCCTCCTCCTCCTCCTCCTCCCTCCTCCTCCTCCTCCTCCTCCCCTCGTCCTCCTCCTCCTCCTCCTCCTCCTCCTCCTCCTCCCCCTCCCCCTCGTCCTCCTCCTCCTCCTCCTCCTCCTCCTCCTCCTCCTCCTCCTCCTCGGTCCATCCTTGGCCACGTTCGTGTTGGCCGCGCCCCGCTCGAGAGGCTTCGAGACGGCCTTCCGAGGCCCCTGCAACCCTTGTCGTGCGTCCTTCTGATGCGGACCGGCTGCAGGGGACCGAAGTGCCGACGCGGCGGGCGACCCCGGCGCGGGCGTCCGAGGCTGCACGCCGCTGGCGGCCCCGAGGTGGCCGACACTGAACGATCCGCGCGGCCGGACAGCCGCGGTGAGGCATCCCCGCGATGAGCGAGAGGCTCCACGACACAAGCTTGCCGCGTTCGCCCTCTCACTGGTTGGCCCGTCCGTTTTGGCAGCGGCTGCGCCCTATACGGGCAGGAGCCACCTTTTTCTTCGCGTGGCGCGCCGCAGATTCTGGCCCACTGCGCTTCGGCGCGCTACGCTAGCCACCTGCCCACTTCCCAACGTCAGCGTCCCGAACCTTTTCAAGTCGCCGCCCCGCGCAGCGGAGCGACACGCTGTCCGCCTACATGGCATACAGTGCTGCCAGGGCCGCCGCCGCGCCGCGCGAGCTAAGCAACAGCTCCTGGGCGTAAGCATCGCCTTGACCCCGGCGCTATCTGTGCCTCTCTTTCTTCAGTCTGCTACAGCCCGCCGATCAGAGGGAGGGCGCGCCGCCTTGCAAGACCCCAGCTCAACTCGTGCGAGTGCCTATGCAGCGCGGGGGTGGGGGAGGTGAAGCAGAGGATGGCCGACATGTCCGTGGTTGCGCTTGCGAGGATCCTCGCTGCAGTCCACCGCTCTCCCGTGGTGGCCTTAGCTTGGAGCGTCTGCTTGGGCTCCCACGAGGGGAAGACGAGGCGGGGTTGGCTTGGGCAAATGGCGGGCATGCAGGAGCCAGGGGGTGAGAAAAGACGGGGAGGAGGAAGAGGAGGAGGAGGAGGAGGAGGAGGAGGAGGAGGCGGTGGAGTAGGAGGTGGAGGAGGTGGGGGGGAGGAGGAGGAGGAGGAGGAGGAGGAGGAGGAGGAGGAGGAGGAGAGGAGGAGGACAAGGAGGAGGAGGAGGAGGAGGTGGTGGAGGAGGAGGAGGAAGGAGGAGGACGAGGAGGAGGAAGAGGAGGAGGAAGAGGAGGAATAATAAGAAGAAACATAAGCATAAGCATAATACTAACACTAATAATACTAATAATACTACGAATACTAATAGTAATACTACGAATAAGCATTTAAGAATAAGAATGAGAATACTAATACGAAAAAGAAGAAGAAACATATTATTAAGAATACTAAGAAGAAGAGGAGGAGGAGGTGGTGGAGGAGGAGGAGGACGAGGCGAGGAGGAGGAGGAGGAGGAGGAGAGGAGGACGAGGCGGAGGAGGAGGGAAGAGAAGTAGGAGGGAAGAGGAGGAGGAGAAGGAGGAGAGGGAGGGGGAGGAAGAGGAGGAGGAGGAGGAGAGAGGAGGCAGGAGAGGAGGAGGAGGAGAGGAAGAGAAGGTGGAGGTGGAGGTGGAGGAGGGGGATAAGGAGGTGGTGGACGAGGGGGAGGAGGAGGTAAAAAAAGGGGGAGGTGAAGGAGGAGGAGGAGGAGGAGGAAGAGGAGGTGGAGGAAGCCCGTTTGCGGGAATTCTGTCCCCCGCGCTCGCCCCTGGCACCGCGGCCCGCCCCCGCGGCCGCCCTCGTGGGGGCCGGCCTCAGCGCGCCGCCGCGTCATCGGAGGCGGGCGGAGCGCGTGCCACCAGCGGATGAGCATCATCGCCATGGCATCGGGGGGCTGCCCAACGTCATGTCACGGCGGTCCTACACACAGCATGCGAGGCAAACAAAAACTCAGTTCTATGGCACTACAGTTGCACGCCGTGTCGTTCGCCAACGGCGTCGCAATGCATGCGAGACGTGGGTGCGGTTTGGCAAGTACGAGAAAAAATGCGCCAGAAAGGATAATCCTACGACGGCGGACTGCACTGAGGTGAAGCCCGATGCCCGGACATCCAGTTGCAAAAGACAGGGGAACCTGACTACATCTTCAGCGCCTCCCGCGCCAGAGGTCAAGTACATCGTCACAGAACGACCGGCCCAAGTCCTGTATGAATTCCAGTACGGCACTGGCAACAATCGCGAGCACGACCAGGAATGCAGCCACAACTTGGGAGCATACTACTAGCAAATTGGTTCGCACTCCCAGATGTTCTACGGAAGCCAAGCTGGCTGTTGAGCTTCGAGAGCCACCAGCACAGCTACGACAGCAAGAAGCAGAGCTTCGAGGGCCACCGGGCGAGGAAGAGCGGGACTGGCCCTCGTTGGCGCCATCTCCTTCAGATTATGTTTCGTCTTCTCCTCGTGGCAACTGGAGATGTGAGTAGTGCGACATGGCAGCCGACGACTCCGACTTGGACCGCGGGGAGGCGAAGGAAACAGACGAGGAGGAGAGCAAGAAGGCAGACGAGGAGAATGATCGCAAGGAGCACGGCCCGAAGGAAGAGCCCGACGCCTTCGCCACCGCCGCGCTGGCGAGAGAGGCGTGCCTCGCCAGGCGCCGTGCCATCGCAAGTCCCATCTACTGGCTACGGGGGCCACAGCGGAGCTGCGAGGGTCACCTGCTGAGCTACGAGAGCCACCAGCTGAGCTACGAGGGCCACGGGCTGAGATACCAGGACCACGCGCTGAGCTATGAGGGCCGCAAGCAGAGTTACGAGGACCACCAGCCAAGCTTCGAAGACCACCAGCTGAGCTACGAGGGCCGAGGCCACAGGCCGAGCTACGAGGGCCACGACATGAGCTACGCGGCCCAGAAGCAGAGTTACGAGAGCCTCCCCCAGAGCTATCAGGGCGACGGGCTGGCTTGCAAGGGCCACGAGCAGAGCTTCGAGGGCCACCAGCCCAGCTGCGAGGGCCACGAGCTGAGCTACGAGAGCCACCAGCTGAGCTACGAAGGCCGCAGGCTGAGGTACGAGTGCCACAGGCAGGGCTACAAGGACCACCAGCTGAGCCACGAGGGCCACCAGCTGAGGCAGCAGGGCCACCAGCTGATCTGCAAGAGCCACGAGCAGAACTACATGGCGCACATCCTGAGCTGGGAGGACCATCGGCTGAACTACGGGGCCGCGCGCAGGGCTACAAGGACCACCTGCTGGGCTATAAAAGCCACCAGCTCAACTAAGCGCGCCACCAGCTGAGCTAGCAGGGCCACCAGCTGATTTGCAAGAGGCAGGAGCAGAGCTACGAGGCCCGCCTCCTGAGCTACGAAGACCATACGCTGAACTACGAGGGCCACGCGCAGGGCTACGAGGGCCACCTGGTGAGCTACACGAGCCATCAGCGGAGCTACAGTGACCACAGGTACAGCTCCTACAGCCACCTGCAGAACTACCTTGGCGACGAGCTGCGCTGCAACGCGCTGAGCTACTTGGGCCACACACAGGCCTTCGAGTACCACAGGAGGAGCGATGAGGGCAACCACCTGAGTTTTCGAGAACCACCAGCAGTACTAGCTTGGCCAGTAGAACCAGCCGGAGTACCTGAACAGGGCGCAGGCCCGAACCATCGGGCTTCAAGGCCAGAGACCCCACAACGGCCTCGAGTGTCCCTAGTGCGCGTGGGATACCATTACGAAGCGCTGGGCATTCCGACAGAGATCGGTTGCTATCATCGGCAAGAGTGCCAACGTCGAGCCCATCGGGAAGTACCTCAAGAAGCGGCTCGCCATCATGCACCAAGAGACGGCTGGAGCCTACCAACATCACAACCTGAGGAATGCTGACCACCTGTTCGAGCGCTCATACGACCTCGCAGCCTCTGAAGACCAGCCAAGGGTGGCACATGTTCCTCGACGTGTTCCAGCACGAAGTTCTGTTCGATGCAGTCTATGACCGGATGGTGCAATTGGTACGGTGAGAACAGCCGACCAGAAGCCGCTGACTATGGCACTCCAAACCATGTCCCGCTCTCTTTTGTTATGCCGACAATATTTGCTCCTCAGCGATTCGGACAGGTACATGAATTGCGCTACACACAACACCATATCTACAGAACCCACGCGCTGTTGAGACGATGAACAGGCACGTCGTCTTCTACAGCGCTACCAGCAAGGTCCACCATGTATAGCGCTACAGGCACGGTGCTACGTTTACAGCGCTGCAGACAAGGCATTCCGTGCACAAGTACATTTGCAATGACTTGCGTCTACGGTAAGTACATCTGCTACTGCTCAGTGGCCCCGCTCACCCCCTCCCACCCTCCCTCGGTGGGCTCACCTTGTTTCGACTTGAGTGTGGGTGCCATCTCCCTTCCTTCCCCCCTCTCCAGAAAAAAAGGGTAGGCGCTGTCGGCCTGCGCCCGCGCGCGCGGGGGTAGCGGCGGCTGCGGGGCGGCGACAGGGTTCACTTGATGGCGCTGCGAGATAGCAGAGATGGAGGGGGAGGAGGACGAGGACGAGGACGACGAGGACGAGGACGAGGACGAGGGACGACGAGGACGAGGACGAGGACGAGGACGACGAGGACGACGAGGACGACGAGGACGACGAGGACGACGAGGACGAGGAGGAGGAGGAGGAGGAGGAGGAGAAGGAGGAGGAGGAGGAAGAGAAACAACATGAGGAGGAAGAGGAGGAGGACGAGGAGGAGGAGGATGAGGAGGGCGGAGGAAAAAGGAGGACGGAAAGCGGGGGACCGAGGAGAGAGGACGGAAGAAAAACATGGGGGAAGGAGAAGGATACGGAGCGAGGAAAGAAGAATATATGGGGGTGAAGGAGCAAAGAGGGAGGAGGGTGGTGGGCGGGGCTGGGAGTATGAAAAGGAGGGCGTTGGTTGGGCGGAACACCGCCGCCGCCCTCGCAGTTGCGGCAATTGGCGCCCGGCCAGGCTTGAGCCCCCCTTTGAGCGCGGCCTTTTGGAAACTCAGTCTAACGTAGACCGCCTCGGTGAAGTAGCCTCTGGTGGCCTGCAGCGGCCTCTCGTGTGCTACGTGCCTCTGCTCGCCGCTTAGCAACCTCTAGCTGCCCGTAGCGGCCTTTCGCAGCCTCCAGTGGCCTTCATCGGCCGTTAGCTGCCTCTGCAAAAGTGCAAGGGCGTCGGTGTCGCCGCGCCGTTTGCTCCGACGCGCGGCCTGACGCCTTGGGGAGGGCTCCGCGGCCACCGGGGGGCAGATGCCGCCTCGCACGCGGTGGGCTTGCCGTGGGGTTTGCCGCGGTGCCGGCTTCGTCTGCTTGGGCGCGGGGCGCAGGGGTTGCCGTGGGTTTGCCGTGGTATCAGCGTCGCCCGCTTGGGCGCGTGGAGAACACACGGCACGGCGACAGATGAGGTATGTTAAGATGTGTTGGGACACGGAGCGCAGGCTACGTATCGGACTGATAAGACATCGCGCATAAACTTCGGAGTTCTCCGCGAGGATTTCTTGGATCTGCGTTGCCCCCCCCTCCCTCCTTGGCGCGCGGGCTCCGAGGGCTGCTGCTCATGCCGTCCTTTCTTCCCAGGAGAAGATGCAGAAGCAGGCAAGGGTGTTGTGGTGTCTGGTGGCCCGCTGGACGGGCATCTGGTGCACACCCGCTGGTGGCCCAGAGTTCAGGTAGCTTGGATGATGGAAGAAGACTCAGCGGGCGGGGGCGGAGGAGCATGACACAGATGAGCAGGAGATTCAGGCCATTCTGGAAAGTACGGGAAGAAAGAGAAGCACACAGGCGCAGAGGCAAGAGGAGACGGATAAGAGGGGAAGAGAAAGGTCGAGGTGAAGGACCCCTAAGATATCCAAGACGGAATGGAGACACGTAAATCAAGGCACATCGAGACAGATCTTCGCATTCTCAAGCCAGCCAAGGTGCATCAAAAGATCTCCAGGGAAACCCGCAGCAATTTGTGGACGCTGAAGCGCGAGCCGAGGGACAGCAGAAGTCGTTAAGCTCTTAGCGGAAGGAGGAGGAGGAGGAGGAGGAGGAGGAGGAGGAGGCGAAGGAGGAGGAGAAGGACGAGGAGGAGAACGACGACGACGACGAAGAAGGGGCGCACGCACCTGGGGGAGTGCGCGAGAGAGCGCCATCTCAGTTGCTGGCCACCTACCGCGAGCACCCGGGCCTGCTGCAGAGGATGGGCACCAGCTGCCGCGTCAATGTGACCAGCGGCCTGCACTTCGGGTGGGCAGGGCTCGCGTCGGACGCGGTGTTGGCCATTCCTCCCCCAGATTTATGATGTTCCAACCTACTTTAGCCTTGACCACCAGAAAGAATTTCGAGCACCCCCCAAAAAAAACTCGAGGGTTTTCACGTGTCGGGCCCTGGGAGACACTCGCCCGACACTGTTTCGACACTCTTTCGGCACTTTTCCGGGTGCTCGGAATTATTTCTGGGATGTGGTCTTCGAGTAAGATGGGTGCAACATAACCCCAGACATGCTCGCATCGTGAAGACAACAAAAAACACAACGGGAGGTGTTTCACCGCTTTCGCCCTCGGAGGAGCCTCGCCGGGCCCAGGGCCGGGACCGTCAAGCAGATGCTCAGGATGAAAAAGCCAGCCTCAGGGAAAGGGTCGGGACTTTGCAGGCTCCGTATTTAGAAATGAAGACGTCGCATGTCTGGGCCCATGGGGGAGAACAAGGAGGGCATGAGGAAGAAGGGGAGGAGGAGGAGGAGGAGGAGGAGAAGGAGGAGACATTCCCTGGACATTCCCCTGACGACAAAGTCGAGAGTTGCCGCGCCGCCGCTCGCCGCCCACCTCAGGGCGTCTTCGAGGCGGCGGCGACGGCATCGGCGGCCCGCGGGCGGCCTGGTCCCGCGCCTGGGGGCGCGTCGGGCCTCGCCTGCGGCGCCCGCTGTGTTCGCCCGCAGCAGGGCCCTCCTCCTCCTCCAGCGGGCGAGGCGTGTCTCCCGCACAGCTGCCCCTGGGCCAGCCGCCCTCCTGCGGGCGCTCCTGGCGGGGCTGGCCTCCGCGCGTGTCTCCTCGCTCCTATTGGTGGCTGGGGCGGCGGTGCGGGCTCCGCCAGGAGCTGCCTCAGCGTCGCCAGCGGCAGCACCTTGGGCTTGGGCGGGCTGCGTTTCCTGGCCGTCACGGCTGGGCTGGACCTCGCTCTTTCCCTGGCGGCCTCCAGCGCCCTCCTGGCTTCCTCACTTCTCCTCTGGCTGTCGTCTGGCTCGACCTTCTTGAGCTTCAGGATTGCCTCCAGCGGCTGGCACTGTCTCATCCTTGCTCTCGGCGCCGCCGCCACCTCCAGCAGCCTCGTCGCCCTCACCTCTGCCTCCTGCTCGCTCATTTTGGGCTTGGGCGGCCTCGGCGGGGAGCGTGTGGCGGCAGCTGCAGCCTCCTGGCTTCTGGCAGCTCGCCGCCCCGCTTCACTCCGCCTCTGGTGGGGTCCGCCGCGCCTGCCCAGCGCGTCCGCCTGCTCCAGCGTGCGTCTCCCAGCGTGGGGCTCGCCCCTTCCATTATCCCTCCTGGAGGGGCCTCTGGGCACTCCTGGTCCCAGGGGTGGGAGGGGGTCAGCGTGCGGGGGAGCCTGGTCGCTGTCGAGCACCGCGGCGTGGTCGCCATTCACGATCCCTCCAGCGGCCACCTCTCGGGTTCTCCTCAGGTCATCCTCGATGCTTCTGACCTCTGGCTCGGGCGAGGTCCCCCGACTATGCCTCTCGCTGTGTTCGCGGTTCACGTGGCATCCGCGGGCCAAGCCCTCCCCCTCGCGTTCAGTCTGTCGGTTTCCCAGGGTGTGGGTCCGCTCTGTTAGTTGCGAGGTCTTGTCTGCCACCATGTTGGTCACGAAGTCCGCGTCATGCTCACTTGGCTCGTCAGGGACCTCCGCCTCGAGACCTTCTGTTGACTGCTGCGGCTGCTCCTCTTCGATGTGATCTCCACGATCTGCGGAGGGGTCCTCGACCGTTTCTGACCATCCTGGTGTAACTCGAATCTCATCCTGCTTGATCTCTGGCCACATCCTCCACTCCTCTGCGTCTGCCAGCTTAGTCCAGCTCTTCAGCAGGTATCTTCTCGACTCGCAGGTGGGGCGGAGGCGGCAGGGTGCCTGCAACTTGTCCGAGACCATCTCCGTGGCGGAGCTCGCACAGAGCGTGCAGAACCAGCGCCTCTGGCGGCCCAGCCATCGCAGGGGGTGCGACGGGTGCGAGGTGTGGCCGTTGAACTCGATGCACCTGCCTGCCGCTGGGGGGTGGCCACCGCACTTCTGCTCGAACCACTCCTTGATGCTGGAAAGGGCCGTCGCCGTCGTGACTGACTGGTTGCAGCACTTGCACCTCCACCCTCGTCCTCGTCTGAGCTTCACGAGGTCGTGCGTGGTGGCTGGCCGTCTGCGGGGGTCTCGCGCGAGGTAGTCTGCCTTGACCTTCCTCTGCGCTCTCCTCTGCATGACCGCGTGCCTCCTCGCCATCTTCAGCTCCTTGTTCTCCGTCGGCCTCCGCTCCATGGCGTCCTGGGTGCAGGCCGCGATGCGCGCTCTGACCAGGCTCGCCGTCGCCCGCACCCATTCGTAGCAGCCCATCTGGTTCTCTGGGATGGCGTGCTGCTTGGCACCTGCATCGGCCAGTCTGTCTGCCTCTCGGTTGCCTTCCCAAGCCTCTCTCGGGATGTGTTTCTCCGTCGCCTCCGTCTCCGTCAGGTGGCTGTTCAGGTGGCGCAAAGTGATGATCTCCCTGCCACCTCCTCTCTCGGCGATGGCCCTCCGCACGCGGCGCCAGAGGTCGCAGTTGGCGGCCCCTTCTGGTCTCTCATCGCGACGTGCGTGCCAGCCGACGAGGGTGATCTCGCTGTCCGTCCAGAAGGTCATGTCACCGCACGTCGACTCCAGGCAATTGATGAGCGACCACAGTTCCGCCCTGTTGTTGGACTGGCGTGAGCCTGGCAGGGGTCCGAACTTCGCGGCCCAGGTCGGGAAATCTCTGGTGCGCCCTCTGGTGTCCAGCATCACCCAACTCCATCCGCATCTCCTGTACCTCACGTCGCTGCTGTACTCGCCTCCTGAGCCGTCCCCACAGATGGTGAGCCGCCCTCCCTCTGGGGCTCGCAGTCTGCCCCCCTGTAGGCACTGCCCCAGCGGCGTCTCCTGCTCCTCCGTGCTGCACGGGGGTGGCACCGTCCAGGCCTTAGGCGTGAGCCCTCTGAGCCAGAAAGCTGGGGCTCCGGCCACACCTGCTTCGGCTCTCGCGACGAGTCCTGCCGTCTTCTCGACCACCTCCGAGGGCTTTCTCGCAGAGCATGCTCCCCAGATGCGGTGGAAGTCGTCCTCGAGCTGCCCGCACTCGCAGGTCTCGTCGCCCGAGTTGAACTCCTGGCGCTTCCTGGCCTGAGTCCATGTGCCTGCGCACGCTGCCGCAAGCAGCGCCCCGTAGGTCTGGTGCTTGCCGCGCTTCCTGAGGGACTCCAGGTGCTTGATCATATCCGTGCAGTCCACCCCGTGCTCCATGCCAGCGCCGTTGTGGTGCTCTGCTGCTTGGCTCCACAGCTGCTTACTCGCGCTGTCCAGGAGCGCCTCGATGATCGCCTCTGGGTCTCCGTCCTCCTCGTCCTCTGGGAATCGCCATCTGCCGCCGTCCTCGTCGATCCAGATGTCAGGCCCCCTCGAGTCCCAGCCTAGCTCCCAGAGCAGCAGGATGATGCCTCCCATCACTCCTCGTCTCTGCTGCCAGCGCCGCCTCGGGTCCGTCCGCAGGAGCCTGAAGTAGACCCTGGGCCAGGCCTTGCGCGCTTGTTCCCTCAGGTCCTGGCTCTTGGCCCACAGGTCGAACCAGGCTCTGAGCTGGCCCCTCGCCATGGCGACCGCTGGGTCGACCACCTCCAGCGCCAGGAAGGTGGTGAGGCATCGCCCAGGCCACGCTCTCCTCAGAGCCTGCGCATACCTCCTTCTGGCGAGCCTGAGGGCCCACGGAGAGAGCCCGTGGGCGGCCACTCCGTACACCAGCGAGGCTGATGCGCCTTGGTGTGCCACTCCACGCCTCCTCTTCAGCTTCAGCTTGCGCAGCTTGAAGCCGACCGATCCGAACCTCTTGTACGCATCATTGACCCTCTTCGTATGCGTGGGCCTCCTGGTGGTGCCTCTCGCAGCGCGGTCAGCTCCGAGGTCTCTTCCCTCTGTGACCGCCTTGACCTTTATCCCAAGCTGGTTGAGCCTGGACTGCACCTGGAGCGTGGCGCCGAAGTCCGAGGTGAAGATCAGCGTCTTGTCTGCCAGGCTGAGCCCGTGCTGCTCCAGCCCCCACTTTAGCTTGCTCGTGACCGTCGTGAGCTGCTCCGTGACCGCCTCCTTGCTTCCGACGACCTTGATGCTGATGTCGTCGAACCAGGCTCGCGGCATCGGCTTGGGCAGCGTCGATGCGACGTCCATCATGTGGCTGAGCACCGCGTGGACCACCGTCTTGGCCACGTTATTGGAGTGTCTCGAACCCGCCAGGATCGATCTGTCGGCCAGCATCGGCTCCGAGTACGAGTTCTTGCACCTCAGGATTCGGGCTCCCGAGTGCTGCAGAAGCAGCATGGTGAGGAGCCTCGGGCAGAAGTTCAGCTTGAGCGCCTCTGGGATGAGGGTGTCGATGCGCAGGCTGTCGTAGAACTTCTCGATGTCTGCCAGCGTGCATCCCTGGAAGATGCCTAGCGCGTCGCAGCACTCGTCCGAGAGGATACGCCTGAGCGCCTCCCTCTTGCAGCTGTTACCTGCCACCGCCGCGTCCCACTCGCGCTCCTGCTGCTTTGCCCACTCCCTCACTGCGGGCCTGTGGAGGAGCTCCCAGCAGCGCACCAGCTGCGGGGGCAGGGCCAGCGCGCGGTCGCCCTTGGCTGGCTTGGGGATGATCATGACCAGCGCGTTCAGGAGCTGCCAGGGCCACATCAGCTTCAGCTCGCACTCGTTGAACAGGTCTACGATGGCTTGTCGCCCCGCCGTCGGAAGCCGACGGATGTCGCTACAGCAGAGCTTGTCTACTCCCCGGCCCCTGTCGGGTTCCTCCGCGAGGGCGAGGTCCAGGTCGTCGACAGTCCACTGTGGCGCGTCCACGGCTGCCGCTCGCCTCCTGAGGTCCCCGAGCAGCTGCGTGTGCGTGCCGTGGGCGACCTCCTCGCACCTCCAGATCTTCGCGAATGCCTCAGCCTTGGCGTCCACGATCTCCATCGGGCTATCCGTCACGCCCGCCTCCATTGCCAGCT